CCCCAAAACCCCAAAACCCCAAAACCCCTTCAGTTAATATTAAATGTAAATGTTAGTCATGAAATTAAATTAAACTTGTTCAACTTTCAAATTGTATTCAAAATTCAGAGATAGTCACCTTGCCTTGTCCATGCTTAAACCAAAGAGTAAAAGTAAACTTTGCATTCTGATTCTTATCGTAAGTTGTCATTATCAGAGTGTAAGGTACATTTTTCCCATTTATTTTAGTATCTAATGAAACATCTCTTGCAACTTAATAGCCTCCAGAATTCTCTAGGATAGGTTTGGGTAATCCTCGATTAGTTGTAATCTTTTTGCCTTGGTAATCATAGACTTCAAATCCTATGCCATATCTATCAACCTAAGCGCCAAATTTAGACTCCATTTGGAGGAACATAAATATTTCAACCTATCCTTATGCCTCCACCAATAATTTAAGTTGAGGATTTTAACCTACAGTTGGATTGTTTGTGCAACCTCCTGCAGTACCTAACCTTGTAGACCATTCAGATCTGTATGTAATTTCAGTCCATGAATCGTCAAAGAACCTACACAAAAATAGCTAGTCAAAGTTGGTGAAAAAATCACTCAGAGACATCCAGAATATGCCATCATTCTCCCCAACATCTGACTGCTACACTCCTCTCTACATCATCCTATCGTAGATAATCCTTTTTCTTCTTTCAGTCCATTCCTTAGAAGAATCTCCCCATGCTCCTTTCCATTCTGTTCTATCTCCCCAGGGATTTCTCAATTGTAAGAGTTTAATTCCTTCAACCTCGAATACATCTAAGATACTATAAGCATGACCTTGAACTATTCCTAGTCTAGAAATATCTGCATCACTACCTTGAGGGCTCCCTGCACCCATTAAATAGTTTTTGCTATTCCATTATTTCAATTTTTCCCAAAATTGTCCTGTAGTATTCATTCTCTTGACACTCTAATCTTTCAAATCATATCTATCAGGAGCTCCATTAGTAAGATCTGCAAATGCTGCATCAACTAAGCCTCCCTCAATATTAGGATAACTTCCATACATCTTGGCATAAGCTTTTTCAATAAGCATAGCCCATATTTCTTTGTTTCCCTCTTTATTACTGATTCTTACATACGCATGTTTGTTCTAGAGAAATTAAAAGGAATATCTTACATTTTGAGTAGGAAAATAATCATCAATCGTGATAATCACTGGCTACCTATTTCTATAAAACATAAGCACATAGAGTCCATTTTCTTGATAGATTTAACTCTTTGGGTGAAACAATTTCCTCATTAATTTTGGTTGCGTATGAGCAATCACACTCATTGCAGATAGTAGGTAGCAATCACCAAGACCTCCTTGAAGAATATCACAAGCACTTACTCCATCGTCAAAAACACATGTTTTACTTTGTTATCTGTTTGCATTACCCCTTTACATAGCATCATTTTAGAAATCTAAATCTATATCTTTGACTCTTGTCCATTGATATTTGTGAGTGTCTTTGCCCAATGCCTTTCTCTTATCGAATTCAGGATCAGTAAATATTTGCTTGTTTTGATGTAGTTAGTAAATTTTATTGCCATCATTCAATAGCTAAACTTCATCTTAACCCTAATTCCTCAAGTCAAAACTTACATCGTTTTTATTATCTTCTCTTTCAAATTAAAATTACTTTTCATCGTCGTCTTCTTCTCTTCTATTAATGTTGTTCTTGATCATTTCTTGCCTCTACCTCTCCTCTTCTTCTTGCTTGAGCAATCTTATTAATCTCTCTTATTCAGCCCTTCTTTCTTGCTCTTCTCTATACTATTCCTACCTCCTTCTATGTTCTTCTTCTTATTTCCTTTTATCTTCTTCTTGCTATCTCTTTCTCTAATCCTCTCTATGCTTTCTTTCTTACTCCTCTTTAAGCCAGTCTCTTTATCTTTACTTTCTCTCTTCATCTTTTTTCTTCTCCTCCTGATCTAATTGTTCTTTTCTTTTTTATTCTCTTTCCTTTCTTCTTCTTTCAAATTCCTCCTTCTTCCTCTACTATTCTTCCAGCATTTATTTTCGTTACTCTTCCATCTTCCTGATTTAATCCTATCTTCGTCTTTCCTTTTAATCCTCAAATTCCCTTTTTTTCCTTTCAAGTTCTTCCTTGACTCTTCTTCTTTCCTCTTCTTAAAGCTTAAATTTTTACTCTTGTCTTTTACGTTCCTACTCTATTTCGAATTATCTCTTCTCCTCTTCTTGTTTTAATCTGATTTATTGCTCAGTCTCTCTATTAATTCTTTCCTGCTCCTCTTTCCTTTACCTTTCTTTCTCCTCTCTTATGCGCCATTACCTTTCTTACTCCTCATTTTCCATCTACTCCTTAATTTGCTATCTCCTAATTCTCTGTTCCTCCTCCTACTATTATCTCTGAATCCTTTCCTATTCTTCAAAGTATCTCATCTGCTCTTCAATTTTCAATCTTTCTTGCTGCTCAATAAATATTCTCCTTTCAATCTCGATTTATTCCTAAATCTCCATCATTCTGTTCCTTACTCTATTCGCAGCATCCTCCTCCTCTCTTCTCTGAATTTCAATCATTTACTATATTCTCTCTCTTTCCTCTTACTCCTGTATCAATTTTAGTCTCTCCTCAAACTCCTCCTCTATCTTATCCAGAATAAGTTTTATATCATTTTATTAAATGGCATCATCATCTTGCTTATACTTATTATCAATATCTTCCTTTCCAATTACATTATTGTCGTCTTTGAATTATGATTTATCTATTTCTTTCTAATAATCACTGTCTGAGTCACTGTGTGAGATGTTATTAACTCCGTCTCTCCTATCTTTGTCCTACTCTTCATCATCAACTAATTATTCAGTTTTTTTCCTCTTTATTTTTTGGTTTATTTCCAGATACTTTTTCAAGAAAGCCTCAAATTAATCTCTACTCAAATAATTAATATTAATTCTTACCTCTTTGCAGAATCCTTAAGATAAACATAAAAATTTTTCATATTTAATGCTTAGATAGATTCATCAGCTGGAAATTCTTATTTGAATACATTAATTAAATTCTAGACCATATTATCCTAAGTGGTCAACAAATTTTTTAGCTTGAGTCTCATCTAAATTAATAATATAAAATTGGAGTATTTTTACATAGCCCTTTAGAAATGCATAGAATCTATTGTAAAAAACTAGCTCTTTCCTCAGGTATTCTTATATCTAGATTAGCACATCAACTTTCTTCTCTTCAGTATCGCTATTATCAAACTCAATATCAAGCAATCCAAATCTTTCATCTTCCATATCTACTGTGTTTTTATAGACTTTAGTGCTGAAAAATAAATAAGAGAAGAAAGTGTCTTCAATCTGCTATGTCTTTTAATAAAAATAGTACTCCCATTAGATATGCTAAACTAGCTAGGGTCTTATTTGCTCAGTATCTTAGAGAATAATTAACTGCTCATCATCTTAAAGTGATTTCTTATTCATGCAGATATTTCTCCACTGGGTTTTAAGTTTCAAAGCAAACGCCAACGATGATCGAAAAAATTCTACATTAGCTAGTTTGTATCTTTCTCTCTCAAGTAAATTTGACTTCATCAGTCTCTGTAAAATTAGTTTGACTAAATTTTACCTCGCTAACATATGCGAAAGTGACAAGCAATGTAAGAGCAGTGCAAGATATACCAATGTAACGATCCTAAACTCGAAGTAGAATACCAGCTAGGAAACTCCAGGTGAAGAATATCAAAGCAGATATCATAAAATAAATCAGCTCTTTATTTGATTTTTTCATTTTCTTTACATTAAAATCAAATTTCAAAGTTGGAAATAATGTTTAGCTGTAAAGTAAAATAGTGCTCGATTATCTGTCCTTATTTTTCACATACTATGTTTAAAATTATTGATTATTTTCAGCTTACCTTTGCTAAAAAATTATAGAAAAAGTACATGAATACAGATATTAAAATAGCTGATAGTCCTTCAAGTATTGTATCTGGATGATTATTATAAAAAATAATCAGAAATATCATATATAAGAAAAATAAAACTCCGAATGAAATTTCCAACTTTCTATAATATAAATTAGAATTCAAAATATAACCTTTTGACAAGAGGGAAGTAGAGTTTGAGTATAAGGAAAAGAGTAGAGCCAACCATCAAATGGCCCCAAACTTCTCCATACTTAAAGATTATCAAAACTATTCCAAATGCTGCTATCAAGCAATAAGAGATAATGTATATGATTTTTATCCCAGAGGTAATTTTAGTCTTATCCTAAAGTTTCCAATACTTAAAAGTAGCCAATCCATATAAGAAAAAATAGACACTACCGAAAACTCCTAAAAAATACACTACCATGACTAATGTATTCTTTCGATAGTTAATAATGAGAACGAATGCCATTACAACAATCCATGAAATATACAGTGCAATAGCAAAGAATGCGCTTATCTGAATTATAAATGTAGCTTGATAGTATGTCTAATAAAACTTTATAAAAATGATAATAGCTAGTTCTACAATGAATATCCATACTCCAATTGTAAATCCTACCCATTTAGGGGAATATGAACTTGAAGTTATAATCATAAAAATGATATTTATGATTATATTAGCGAGAGTCATGGAGAGTATGAATTTATCATGAGTAGTCTAAGGCTTCTGTTAACAAGATAAAATATCCCAGAGTTAAGAGAAGAATTTCTCGTTATTAAAGTCTAAAATTAGTTTTTTGCCAATATTCTTTTGAATTTGATTCTATTCTGGATTATTATTTTAATTGGGATCTTAGAGAGGACTATTTGAATTCTAAGAAAATTAATTTTAATCTACTTATTACTATATCTCTTCTTGTTAGCTTTTGTCATAGTATATATAATCATTGCTAATCCATTTGCCTATAAAAAGCATAAATGTCATTACAAGCAATGGGATCATTATGAAAGATGTCCAGATAAGTTGAATTTTAACTTGAACTATAGCATAAAATATAATTCCCAGGATTATAGACTCTGATTCAATAATAGCCAATGATATTCCCAGTTTAATTGATAATTTGTATTAGTTTTCCTTATAATATTGAAACCAAGCATAGATTAAGCCAAACTAAATTGAAAATAGAATAGATAAGATTGATATGACCCATTATCCAATCTTTTAGTCATCATCTAAGTTGAATAAATTTATTCCTTTTACATTTTTTGATGAAATTATTGTGATGATCACAAATATAAAAAAATATCCAGCATACAAAAACTCAGATAAGAACTATTGGAAAATATTTTTTTAGATGCTGAAAACATCTGGGTAATCAAGTCTAAGCTCATTAATTTCAGTCGTTACATAGTCCTTTAAATCTTAGGATAACTCATATAGAAAAGTGACATCTTGATTAGCTAAATCTACTTTCTTGTTTCGATATTGTAATTTATCAACCAAACTTATAGCCATCAAAATGCTAATTAAGAAGAAAATTATTGATTGCATGCTAAGCCAGTAGTCTACAAAAAAACAGCACATTAAGCGAGTGATAAAATAAAATAAACTCTTAAATTTTTCTTTCTCAATGAAAAGTTTTCGATAGTTTTCAGTGAAAGCAATTATAAAATCTGTATTTATAACTAGAATAACATTTATAACTCCGACTAATCTATAGGTACTTGCTCCAAATATGATTATCACTAGTGCATAGATACCTAATGTAAAGAAATATGCAATTACTGCGAAAATTTTGAGCTTTTTGTTTTTAATCTAGTTGGTTTCAAGTGTTTTTTTAAATACATAATCGATGACTTGATTATTATTGGTGTAATGAATATCATACTCCTTAGTCATTTCATCAATGAAGGTCTCAATTTCTAAATATTTTTTTTCATCTTTTGAGTAAGTCAGAAAGCTAACTGACATATAATTTAAAGTGAGTAAAATAGCTGTTGTACCGTTGTATGAGAAATAGTCAGGCAAAAATATTATAATCAAGCAGTATATAATTGCAAATACTCCTGCCATTATCAGATAAACTTTAGTTGCTTTTGTTAAGTGCCAATTGTGGCCGTACCAATTGCTAAATCCAATGTATAAAAATTAAAGAAATAGTCCAATTAATGTAATCCCAAAACCAAACTAATAGCTAAATGAATTATCAAATGCAAGTTTCAATCCCCATATTAAAAGCAAGAGAGCTGGTAGAAAGATTATGTAGATCAGCCACAAAAATGAGAAAATATAGATCTATAGAGATGTTAATTAGTAATGAATATACAAAAATATATGTAAGTTACAGATATGATCTTAGTATTGTCCTTTCGAAGTCAATTTAAAATGCCAAGTATTTTGAAGCCAGTTTAATATTTCATCACAAGTGGTACCACTATCATATAGATAACAAAGAATATGATAAAGAATGCACTTAATCGAAAGAAATCTGAAAAGTTTGCTATATGCAGCTCACTCTACTTTTGAATTGAAGTTTAAGTAAGGTTTGATGTTATATTTGAGATTATGGTATTATTGATGATCTAAGTAGCATTTGTAAAGTTTGTATTTTCTGTTTGATTTGATGTATTATTCATCATCGTTGACGAATCTACATTAAAATTATCAAAATCAATAAATCAAGACTTGATAATGTAATAACTTATATACTATTAGCTCTACTTACTTGTAGTTTGATTAAGAGTTTAATTGGACATTTATTTAATTAATTAAATTAGCTCAAATACTATTAAAATTATATAGAAATTAAAGTAGTATTATCGTAAATATGATTAAAAACATTATATTTGTTATTTACCTTTCTTTTTTAGGAGAAAAATCAAGCATAATGGGGTTTTGGGGTTTTGGGGTTTTGGGG